TAATTACACTTTGCCAAATAAGTATATGACTCGATCAGTATTATATTGATTATAATTGAAAACGGAGTGTTTCATTGAAGTGAAGGTTCTCGTGAAGTAAAATGGCACGTTGTGTGTTTTTCGTTAAGGATAAAGTTGTTTCAAATCACCCCCCGAACCACCCCTTTCAAATATCCCCAACCTTTTTTAGACACCTTGTAGAGTAGTCTCTTTCTTTCACGGATCTCTTGATTTCATTCTAATTGTAGCTATATAGTTGGTCTTTGCAACAATTGCGCAAGAACGTGGAAAGGTAAAATGAACTTGGAAGGAGGAGGTTACTCATCGAAGTCGGTTATATTTTTTTTCCAAACAGTATTTTATTCAAAGAGATGTAAGATCAAAATGCAATGGTCAGGATAGGCGGTAGAATGTGTTAATAATAACACGTTGTGTAGCCTTTCAATGTTGACTGTATTTTGTATACAATACAATTCCGAGCCGCGTTAAAAATCACGATTGTGAGGACAGATTGGTTTTATCTTATTGTCTCTGTCACATCCATGTATACTAAGTTTGTAAGTTCGCGATTATCCATTCGTGTATCATTGAAATCGATCAACAATATTATTCCAGTCTTAATATCGTGATTTCATTTGTTGATTGCAGAAGAAGAAGATCACGATGCTGAGAGTCGGATCTATACTAGGCCTGTTGGTTCTATTAACCGTCGCGAGAAATGTTGTTTCTAATCGCTGCTTGACGATGCTTGAAGGTAAACCATTATCATTGTAACCACTCACTAAACGTTCTGTTTAACTGTATTAGTTCGGGAACGCAAGGCGTGATAAGAGAATACAATAATGTCTCTCTTCCAAGTAACTACTCTTATATCTTATTCAAAGAAGAGTACCATTATTTATGAACTAGGATTGTATATCATTTGTTAGTAACAATTAGAATTGCTCTATTCTGTAATGCATTTTTATGGTACCACTTCTTTCTTTCGTTTCGACAGAGGTTAATCCAAAAAAAATTGTATACGACGACAATAAGGTGCTGAACATCAACTTCGAGGTTTCCCGCAGAGTGACACAGAGGCTGACATCGATGATCATGAAGATTTTCTTGTCAGAGGTGCTTGGATACTCGGGTGTCTCTATCATCGAGATGGATGATAAGTTCAATGCTACCGTCACCTTCGACAGGCTAAACAACGTGACTTACGCCGTCTTCCTGCACAAGAGTGACGAAATGTAACATACATTATAAATACTATCGATCTTTAGATTCTTTTCAATTGCTTAACAAATTTTTACACTTATGTACACAGGAATGCACAAAGTGTAGCGTTGTGCGCGATTCAAATGGAACAAAGTATTTCTTAGCTTCTTAGTATTCATCCTCGTGAAAAGGCAAGCATTATATTTAGGAACAGATATGCGTATTTCAGTAAATAAAAAAGACAAAAATATTTTACATTTTATTTTCGATGTATACATGGTGTCTACATTTATGTCTGGACAAACTCGGGGAATCGATTCTAAAACTAATTTCCAACAAATAGTTTCTACGATAGTTTCGAGTTTGATATGCAGCGTTGCTCTGTGCGCTATAAAATTAATTAATTAATTATATAATAGATCACTTGCATATTAATAATCCATTCGAGTCTTGCGCTTTGTAAATTTGGAACGAAACTGGCAAACTTTATATAATTTCCAACGATTATCGCACAAATGTTAACGCGCAGAGTGCAGAAGGTGGACAGGATATTGGAACCATTTTACTCATCGACAATTTTTCACGTTACAGATTTACTCATCCCATGGTGAATATGGAAACTTGGATACCACCCCAGTTGGACACGGTACCTCTGCTAAATACACGGCATGTGAAGGATTGCGGATCGGTCGCATCCCCGGGTCACTTTGGTTGGTTCGTTCCCAAAGCGTTATCGAGACTGGAGAGTTGGGTAACCTTCCTTAGGCCAGAGACCGCTGCACGTTTCGACGTGGACGACACCACGTTGCTCAGGATCCAGAAGTTCACCATAGATCCGAGCGTCAATTCGTTCTATTGCGAGGAAAAGTACTGCCGTCAAGGAATGTACGTTCCCAAATGGTGCCAGGGTCACGAGCAGATGACACAACACTGCGCTTTGTTATTTGCCAGTCAGCCCGATGTCACGAACTTCGTGAAATCTGCTATCGAAAAGATGAAACTCTACGTTAAGGTGGCCTGGGTCGGGCCACACTTAAAGAACTTGACGGATGATTTGACTACAGAGTATACGCAGCTCGCAAACAACTCGACGGCTTTGACCGATAACAGGTACGAGGATGTTCTTTAACATGTACATGATTGTTGTGTATAGCTTGAATGGAGATTTCTTATGTAAAATTATGAAATATCGAGAAGCAGGTTGCGCATCTTTTGTGTCACAGGTAAAAGGCATTCATACTTGTCGATTATGTGTTTGTTACTGCTGTCACGAGTGAATCTACGGAGGTACATCGTATAGAGTTATTTCTCGGATTTTAAACATCGTGTACTTTTTAACGATATCTGAACGTATGTCAAAGGATCTTCCGAAATTTTGAAAATTGCCAATTTCGTATATGTTTAAAGTCGAAGGCTTTCTTTCTTTTCAATAAATCGTAACTGTTAAACTATTGAACGGATGAGAATGTGATCTATATTATTTCAATTTTTGCAATTGTTTTAAACAAGTACGGTATTGTAGTGATTGTCCATTATTTATAAAATTCAGAAAAAAGATTGATGGTCTCGAAAGTACCGTCGATAGTTCTTCGCTATTAGTTAGTCATGCTAAACAAAAATACTCGTGTATTGGCTTCTAAAACTACCTATTTCATTTTGTTTTGCGTTACTCGGTATTCCTTCAAACGTCATCGACATTTTTACCATTCGTCTTATGTCCGCTCCTCCGTTATATATTTCTGCGCGTTTTCAGGAATAATTGTACGGCTCCGTAAACGTTTACCGCGTAACGCAAATACACCGTCTCGAAAAACATTCCTCGCCGTTAAATGTTTCAGCAGTTATAGCTTTTTTTTTTTTTTTTTTATTATCGAGGAATCTACAAGCACGGTCGGGATTGTGTCCTTCGAGCCAACGAATATGTTCTTGAAACATACGCGTCTCTTTTCATTTCGATCTCAGCAAACCATTTTCTCGAATACAGAAAGAACATAACGAATACAGAAAGTTAGATAAGTTGTAAGTAACAATAACAGCTGATGTTTGTTGGTGTTCCCTAGGTCCCTGGTGATTTTGCATTGGACACCCAGCAGCGTGATACCGAACGAGGAGGATTTCGTGATGGTCGATTTTCCGCGATGTAACGCAAGACTGATAGAAGCCGGGTGTTACTACGAGTCCAACAGGTTGACCAAGCTTGTATGGTCCAAGCTAGAGGTAATCGCGGACTTCGCTTACGAGGCGATAAATCAGGCGACGTTTAACGACGAAATGTACGAGGATCTGATCAACCGTTACAATAAACATTCTGGAACAGTCGACGAGGAAGAGATCGCCTGTAGCTGGCTGAAGGATAACTTGAACTACACCTTGGACAATTGGATGACGACGAACAAAAACGAGCTCGTCGTGGGCGGTATATTCCCAATGAGCGAGAGCTTCTACTCCGGCAAGTCGATCGCAGTCGCCGCAAGAATGGCAAAGGTGGCGATCAACGAGAACAACACCCTGTTACGAAACTACAATCTGAATCTACTAGTCAATGACGGCCAGTGCAAGTCTGACACAGTGTTGAAGTCGTTTATCGACTACATCTCTCGAACATTTTACACGCTGGTCGGCATTTTAGGGCCAGCTTGCTCGGAAACGGTAGAGCCGTTGATCGACGTCTCGAAACACTACAAGACGGTGGTGATCAGTTACAGCGCAGAGGGGTCCAGCTTCAAGAACCGCAAACGATATCCGTACTTCTTCAGAACGATCGGCGAGAATAAGCAGTACAAACACGTTTATCTGCAGCTGTTGAAGAAACTCGGCTGGCGACGTGTAGCGTCGTTGACAGAGGACGGACAAAAATATTCCGAGTACATATCCTACATGCAGGACGTGTTCAGAGATAACGGAATCGTGTTCGTCGCGAACGCTAAGTTCCCGAAGGACCGGGAAGACGACGTTATGAAGAAGGTAATATTTGTTTTGAGCTGTATAAACGTCGGTTTTGATGCAGCCGAACCTTTGAATGGTTATATAAGGATCTCAAGGGGCGCACTGTGGAGTATTTGGACTCAAAACGTGGCTAAATATCGATTTACAAATTCTGTCCGATTATTCTTTTCATCTATGCGCTCACGCTTTCGCCAAAGCGAACAGTATTGTATGATAGAAGGGGAAGATAAGGATCTAAGGTAGCTAAGGATCAAAGCACGAATGATTGTTTTGAATTTAAAATTAAATTTTTAAAAAGAAGAACTGCAGTCCAGTGCAGACAAAATTCACTAAAGTGTTGTTTAAAAATAGCTAGTTTAAAGACTGACGTATCGTCAAGATTATCATTGAAAAGTTTTAGTAACAATGAGACAAATCAATTTTGATACGATCAACAAAACAAAGAAACACTGACCGCGTTTTTTATTTGTCTACTACATTGTTTATGTATGCAATGCATGTTTACAGCACCTGCAAGATTTGAAGCAGAAGAAGGCGAAAATCATTATCGCTGACGTTTACGATCAAGTAGCACGACAAGTGATGTGCGAGGCGTACAGACTGAAAATGACAGCTGCTCAGGTACGCGTACAAAATATTGATGCTTCAGACGGTTATTATAGTAAAAATTTTCTATCTTTAACCTAAAGGTATCTGGGCTCCTAGAAATTCGAATTATGGATTTTTGATATTTTCATCGACAGATCTTCCGATTTTTTTACGGTACAGTAGAAAATGTATGTTTTTCATTTAAAGGGATACGTGTGGTTCCTGCCCCTCTGGCTTCGACCGCAATGGTATGACACCGATCGCTACAACAAGATGGGCGAACAGGTACCCTGCACCACCCTGGAAATGAGCAGATCTATAAACGGCCACCTTGGTTTGTCTCACGCGTATTTTGCTCCGGACGACAGCATCATGCAGGAGGGAATAACGGTGCGTGAGTGGCGCAATCGTTACGAAGAGGATTGTAAATCTCACCAAGAGCCACCCTCGAATTATGCTGGTTTTGCCTACGACGCGATGTGGACGTACGCTTACGCGATGGATCGACTCTTAAAGGAGAACCAGAGTTACGCTTTCGATCTCCACAGCGATCATACTATCAACCGGTTGACGACCATTATCGGCGAGACTGACTTTGAGGGGGTATGTAGAATACAAACTGCAAAAAACCCTAGAGTATGTTTGAGTACTACGAACGCTTCGATGCGCGGCAAAGATGCGAATCAGTGGCGTTGTAGGAAGATATAACTTTCACGCTGCGATGCCAGTGTTGCTTCCAACTCACGCATACGTGTCGAGAAAGCCTGGACGAGCATTAATGTAGCTATAGGAAACGATGCATAGTCAGTTTCAGTTTCAGTTCTTCTTTACTATGATGGTTCAACCCAGTATATTTAGGCTATTGTACTTTTAATACCAGTCTTATATGTCAGTCTTAAAAAATTTCTCTGATATATAGTTTCATCTTACCTAGCATCTAGTTATATTTCATATCATTTCTTACCCTTAAAATAGGATCTATTGGGTTGTCCGGAATGTCCATGCCGATTTTTGATAGGTGGTGCAGGTCTGAATATGTCGAAATGGCTGAAAACAAATAATATATATATATATGTACATCCCTTAAAAGGTGGAAAGGTTGTGAAACAAAATGGTGCCTATGTAATTCAATAAATATACATATAAATAAATATATCACAATTCAAATGTGCCTTTAAAGTTTTCTTAAAAATTGGCACGAACTTTCTGGACAACCTAATAATATATCAAGTATCAATTATCATTTGTACTCATTTCTTTCTTCTTTTTTTTGGGGGAGAGGGGGTATGGAAAAATCTTCATAGACACCGGGCGCTGGTGACCGATACCAGCACCCAGCAGTTTCAGGGTGTCCTACAAGGGTGCAAAGCTCAAGCCTTTCTCTGGCGAAGCGGTCGCACACAAAGTTCATTCATTTGAATTACTTAATCGGAGATTTGATCATCTGTTTTAGGTGTCCGGAAGAATTAATTTTCTAGGAGGGCCTTCAAGATTCTCGGTGGTCAACATCCTTCAATACGTCGATAACGAAACCCGACTGATTGGTAACTTCTACCCGGACGTCTCGAAAACGAAACACGAAGTGGTGGGTGGCAAACTCGATTTGAACATTTCTGCATTCGTTTGGCTTTCTGGCAAGATGCCAGATGACGGCTCCGAACCACCCCAACGTTGCGTGATCGCAGGTTTCGCAGATTTCTTGAACGTGTCCTGCGAAGTTGCCTTCGTCATAGCTAACATTCTTGGCCTTGCTTTTCTGGCCGTGATACTCATCATCGGTTTCATCATTGTCAAGAGAAAGTGAGCGACTCGATTCGATACTCCTTTTATCGGACATTAATATGCACTTTGAAGCATTTAAATAGGAACACCTGAATATCTCCGTTATTTATGGTTCTATGAAAAAATCTATGAGTTGAAGTTACGCTGTTTGAAGTGACGCATGCTGTGGTGGAACTGCTTTTTCTCAAGTTCATATTTTAGAGAGATTTCAAGGACATTGGCATTTTTTTACACGTTTTCATTATTGTAATCTTGTAGCTAATCAAAAGATAAATTCAAACATGTATGATATATTGGCAAATTCAAATGACTTTGATCTCTGTCTAAAATTCTCTTAAAAAAAGTGATCTTATCATTACATGTACCCGTTCAAACAGTGTAAGTTTGTTCTATACATTTTTTTATAGAACCATAAAGAACGAATATGTAGGGTGTTTCCATTTAGATGCGCCAGCCTGTATTTTGGAGCCGTTTCATTTAAAACAAGACACTTTCGGAGTAACGTTTCAGACTTTGCTGACACTTCGGTATGTTGCAATAGCCTTTAGCGATATTCAAGTGAATTCGGAAAATTTTTTATCAAATTCATTCAGATAGTTGAAAACAACATTTTTAAAAATTGTGAAAAATTCGTCCAAGATGTGTTTAAAAACTATAGCATATCCCAGTTTCAGCAAATTTCTAAATGCTACTTTACAAAGTGTTTAACACGTGGAGCTTTTTGACCTTGGTTAATTAATATTTTCATAATGTCTTTAATCAGGTATGAAGAGAAAGTGAAGATTCAGGAGAAGTATATAAAGTCTCTAGGCTTGGGCTTTCCACAGTTGGACACCTCCGACTTGGACAAATGGGAGATACCTCGCGACAGGGTGGTGATCAACCGAAAGCTGGGCGAGGGTGCATTCGGAACTGTTTATGGTGGCGAAGCGTTCTTCCCTGAGAAGGGATGGGTGGCTGTTGCCGTAAAAACTTTGAAAGTGGGGAGCTCCACTGACGAGAAGCTGGACTTTCTTAGCGAGGTGGAAGTGATGAAGAGATTCGAGCACAAGAACATCATCAAACTATTGGGAGTAATCATAAAGACTGAGCCAGTGCAGACGGTGATGGAGTTTATGCTCTATGGCGACTTGAAGACGTTCCTTCTCGCGAGAAGACATCTCGTCAACGACCACAGCTACGAAGATTCCGACGAAATTTCCAGTAAAAAATTAACTGCCATGGCGCTGGACGTAGCCAGGGCGCTCAGCTACTTGGCGCAGTTGAAATATGTTCACAGGTGAATACCGTAAAACTTCTATTTTAGTTGTTTCTGTTTTGTATGTTTCCACAGAGGATTTCGATATCGCGGAAGAATTGTCATATTTCGTTCTTTTTTCAGAGATGTTGCCTCTCGAAATTGTTTGGTGAACGCTCAACGAATAGTCAAACTCGGGGATTTTGGCATGACTAGGCCCATGTACGAACATGATTATTACAAGTTTAATCGAAAAGGTATGCGTTGAATCTATAATAGTGGACGCGAGTTTCATTGGCCCTCGTGTATATTAAAAAATAATAAATGAAATCATTCTTTCAGGAATGTTGCCAGTAAGATGGATGGCACCGGAATCTTTGGTTCTAGGAATATTTACTCCAGCTTCGGATGTCTGGTCCTACGGTGTTTTACTTTACGAAATTATCACATTCGGCAGTTTCCCTTTCCAGGGAATGAGCAACCACGAAGTGCTGACTCATGTCAAAGCTGGACATTCGCTGGTCGTCCCCAAAGGCGTCAAAATACATTTGTAAGTGAATTATCCCGCAAGTGTAACACTAAGAAACAAATTATAGCCGGATGAGGGGTCAAATGTGTCTTTAAGCCAAATTCGAAATGCGATGGGTAATTCGATAGTATAAAAAATAAAGAACAACATGTTTTACGTTCCACAGAGAAAATATGATGTATTCTTGCTGGAGGAGGGAACACACGCAGAGACCAACTGCTCCAGAGATCGTTGATTTTCTAGCGACAAATCCTCGAATTCTGTCGCCTTGTCTGGACGTTCCTTTAGCTAGCGTACAAATAGAGCACACCGGTCAGATCGAGATGCAACTCACAGAGAACATCAGAAAGTTCTCGCTTTCCTGGCCATCGCAGAATCTGGCTACTCAATCTTCGGCGTCAAATCCTTTGGAGATGATTCCAAATCCTCCTCTGCTCGACATAAACTGCCCAGACGATAAGCAGAGCGAAGTGTCGTTATTAGGGGACATTGACAGTTTTAAGCCTTTATTGTTGAACACTGAAGAATCATCTTCGATACCAGTTGTAAGTCATCATAACATTGAACAAAATGAGGAACAACCGCCCAGGTATATGAACGTTCAACCAGGAATGGTGAACGAGTATCCTAAATCTAACCAAAACGCTGGGACCATTCAGATGGAAGAAAGAAGCCCTATGCTGCTGAAGAATCGGAATTCCGAGGATGTTTCAATTCTTTGACAGTATATACAGCACAGGATTTCAAGACAGAAATCAATGGCGCATTTCCACTGACGGGTCGAATGCATATTCGGAAAATATGCGAAGAGTTCGTGTAGGAAAACCAGCGTTTAGTTGGTCAGTAATTTTACTCTCTGATGAAAGCACAGGGTACGTGAAACTCTGAATATGTGTTCTCTGATTGAAAACGGAGATATTTTCTTTACTTCGCTTACGAAGTATAGATGAATCGAGATGTAGAGAACGTATAAGAAGTACTTGTCACGGTTTATACAAGTGAATCTATGTACAGTGACTTACGAAAGTATAAAACATTTACCATGAAAAGCTTTATCCAACATTATAAGTATGTTAGGAATGATTTATTAAAATATCCTCAGCATTATAAATAAGTACAACTACTGTAGAACTCCATTTATCCGAATCGGTCGGGGAACAACCTGGTTAGGATAACTGGTTAGTACATTTCAAACCTTTTTCTCGATCAATACAAGTTGCCCGTAACTTTAGTATCATAGTCTGAAATTATTAGCTCCATTGCATTGACTGTTTTGATAAGATTCGCATGCTCTGGATTCAGATCCAGTTTCCTCTCGATACTTGTTTCTTTCCATTTGTTAGTTGAGTTGAACATATAATTATGTATGTGTAACTACTTATTCGAGTACATTATATGACTTCACAGACGTATTACATTTCCTGAAGATTTGCCACATAAATGCGCATATAAAGATTCACGCTAACCTTCTCGAAAAACATGAGCACCAAGAAATGGGTAACTTAAACATCGCTTATACGCAACTTGGTGCGCAAAAAACAATACCCCACAAAGTGCTGTATGTGTACTCTAGTGTCTTTTGTATTTACTTTGCCCATCAGTATCTGGGTGATTGAGAGGGTTTGCGTGAACGAAAGTGTACATAATGTTAATGATACCAAATAATGCGTATCAGATAATACGTTTGCATAGACTGTACTTTCATAATATGACGTCGATATAACAACTAAAATATAGAATAAAATTTCCCTTCCAAAGATAAATGCATTTAACGCTTGCTGAATTTTTCAAATAAAATTATGACTTTCATGTTCGAACAAACAGTTTCTTATTAATTGACGAAAATAAATGTAAATTGTATTTTTAAATGTTTTCGGCTTATTAACAATCATCTGCGAATAACAAAATAATGTTCATCGATGTAAAAAACATAGAACTATATGAAAACAAAAAAACTAAATCCGATTAAAAACTTGCAATTAGTGAAATAGAGACATAAAATTTGAAAAAAAATCTTTATTTTGGAAGAAAGATCAGACCATTTATTAGTTTAAATATATTTAAGGAGAAAAATCTCACTAGTACCTGACTAATCTATCTTCTATTTTAGTCTTTTTTTCGTTTAATATTTTGTAAATCGATAAGCATTATCTTATCGCAAGATAGTCACTAATAGGTAGAAAAGGTTTACATATAAATGAACTTTACTTCATCCTTAAAGTCGAGAATAACTTTACAGTTCTTTTTAAATAAATCTGCCAATCCAGATACTTAGATTCGCTTGTAATTGTCGTGACAAATTTTTAGTTTATAATCTGTACAATTAGACCGTTTGTCTACGAGGAGATTAATATCCTGCCAATTTACCTAACGAGTAATAGACCTAGGCTAAAATATAGGGTATCAGCGAATAGAACGAAATAATATTTGTTGCAATGAGACAAAAACACCGGTGCGATTTTCCTTAAATAAGATGAAAATGGAAGAACTGATTTCGTACATTTTTGCACAATTTACTTTTGAGACTGATATACGTAGAGCAATTAAGTTTTGGATATTTGTATATGTCGTTGCAGAGAGGGATAACTGATTTATCAATGCGACAGCGATGGAAATTTCTTGAGACAAAGATAAGCTTCTTGATTCTAAAGACCAAACGTTTAATCTATAAAATTGAAGCATTTTGTTTTTACCATAGAAATGTTTGTATTTGCAATGAAAATAAAAATTGAGCTTCAGCTAAGTAATATGCTGTACTTAAGAATAATCGACAGAAAAATGACCGATATACGAGTGTAATTTTGTGCAAAATTTTGTAAATGACCATTTTCTGCCTAACACGGTTTTTGACACAGATTCTCGAAACACGTAAAAAGATTAAGCAAGTCTTTTTTTCTAGATAGTCGCGCTGTTTCGAGGAGTTTTGTGCATTTTAAAGCCATATAAAAAGAAACAGAGCAATATTACAAGCAAGGAGCTCGAGCACCAAAGTTCATGTAACCATGACATTTATTAGAAACGTATTTTATGCGAACATATAAGTCCTCGAGAGTACACTTCGTGAACGTTAAGGCAAAATTCAAGGGATCTAACTTATCGTGAGACCTTTGGCTTCCAAATTTTTTTTTTCGTCACGTCTTTTATACAAATATCTAGTGTCTTACTACAGAAACAGACGTAATTGCCTATCTGTAGTTGAAACAAAAAACAATGGTTACACGAAAACCATAGGAGAAGCCTATGTAAGTAGATATAATGAGAAATGTTGCAATAGGATAGCCACACTAGATCAGAAATGGGAAAAATGTTCATTTTGACGTATATTTTGTATAATGAATAAGAGATAAATAACTGTGTATGTTACTTATTGAATAAAAATTAGAATTGCCCATCTTTAAACTCAATAAGGTTGACCGACTTACCGATTTGATTCCGACTATAGGTGCTCACTAGTTTCAATAAAACTTGATCCTCGCTATAAATACAATTAGTGCAACGGAACGGTTACTATCATTTATGATTACACCAAATGGGTATTTATTAATTTAACAGAACGAAACTCCGATCGATACTGTTTTTGTAAAATATTTATGTATGTGTCGAATCTCTCCCGCCGCGTGGTTTATTCCTAAGGAGAAATTTATTTTTATTTATCGCAAAATATTATACCTCGCGGATGGAGAAATTTTATTTAAGTGCAATAACATTCTATGTCTTGTACAAATAAATTACTGAAGATATGTATTGATAAATGTGTATTACAGTAGCCAATCAATTTCCAAGCGAGTCCAAATTCTAGTAGAACTTTCTATTAGAACAAATTACTGTAATTAAGATCTTTAGTAAAGATTCTTCACCTTTTTTAACTAATCTCTACATAAAGTTGTGTAAGAATAAAAAGATAAAAAAAAAGAAACTCTAAAAATATCAATTTAGAAAAATCGTAGAAAATATAACGAGTGTGTGTGTTATGTTAAGCGCGTTACATCGCATCTATCAGCAACACACTCATCGTAGTACTTAGTGATAAATCTATTTTTTCTTTTTCTATACCGGGTATAATTAGATAATAGCGATCACTCGAATGACCGTTCGAGGGCATATAAATATTTTGTAAAACGTTGCACCGCCGCTAGAGTACAATCCTTACCAATAGCTTTAAATACGTGAAACTTTATTGTAATAAAGTACATATATATATATATGTCGCGACATTATTTATTATCGAATTGTACAGTTGTAATTTTATATTCGTTATAAATGAGACCAATATAATGTTTACCCGGTATTCTGTACAGATAATGTTATTCCTTGATTACATATTTATTATGCTTTCTCCAATTAAATGACACGAAAGAAAATAATTTATCAGCAATTAGTACTTAATCAGCCTACCCTTATGTAATATGAAAGCAATCGTACTAACTTGCGAAAACCTCTTACAATGAAAGTCTTCATAAGTGTCCGCTTCTGATTTTGTTGAAATTTTGTTTTCATATTTAGGGATTGTAACCACTCCTCGAACTTCATAAGGAAATATACAAATATACATTTTTCATTTTGAATGATTTTCATGAAACTTGGTATACAAGTGTTTTTCAGGACGCTGATTCCTAAATCTGCATTATAAATTTAGAAATTTAACATGGAGGAACGGAATATAAAAAATAACTCTTGTATACAAATTGTGGTAATTATAAACCGCATTTACAGGTTGCTATGTTGAAAAATGTGAATTTTTGGGCATGCAAAAATATAAGAACTCTCCTAAGGTCCCTCCCCAACAAATACATCAAACCCTCTCAGACGGTATTTCTACATAGACAGCATACATTATTGCCGCCAACATTAAAAACTAACCTAAGTCGGAATTAAACATTTTTTATTTTGCGGCCCCTTCGAAAAGGTTACGTTGTATTTAATAATTTAATCAAATTCATCAATTCATCATTCTTCAGGGTGAAAACACCCCATAGATATGTGTGTTTCCCTATTTATTAATATATCTTCCAAACTAGAGTAGTACAATTTCTGTTGTCTTTTAGTTTAATTAAAGGATTATGTAAAAGCTTTTTAATTTGCAAGTTTCTTATAGTGAGTATACGGTGCTATTAATGATTTCATCGTTAACGCTGAACTGAGAACGTTTCTTTTCGAATGCGCAAATTGCTTGATTGCTTTCTTTTATACTAAAAAGTTGAAGGATGAAATCAATTGACAAGAGCCGGGTCTATCGAAAGTATATTGTATTTTTCAAGACATTAAAGCTGAGTACTAAGCAATATGAAAACCTAAAAGTTTCATTCGAAATTCAAAATCAAATAATATTCAAAACCACGTAATAATGGTTGTTTTTTAGGATTCGCATAAAGAGTGCTTAATTATTGTATCATCAAAGTATATAAGTTTACAACGAATATAAATTACAAGTGTAGTAACATTTATGTAGTTTTTGTATTGAAATTAAATCATGTTGTGTATTCGGTAAAATCATCCATGTAAACGCGTTTATTCGGTCTAGGTGATAAATCGTCAGATGTTCCATCCGGATTATTATTTATGGATTCTTGTAAGACACGATTTCGGAGTCGTTTAATATGTCGTAAACGCTCTAGCCAATTTGAAGCATATGGATTATGACTGTTTTGTTCTAAAGACGATGAAACCATCGAAGCAAGCTATAAATAAAAAAATAAGATTACGAATAAATAAAATTATATTGGCTTAGGACGAAAAACTTACATTAGCATGAAGTGCAAGCTGTCGAGATAAAATTGCTAAATTTTGATCAGAAATAATTTTAGGTTCGCTATGGCGAATATGCTTTGCTAACTCTTCTTTCACTTGAACTGTAACTTGATTAGTGCCGTGATCTAAGGGTTGTATTACGACACACGCATAATTAAATTGTCCCTAAATAAAGAAATCGTAAGTCATAGTTTTATCAAATTTTTGAAGTAAAATATAACGAGAATACATAATACGTACTTTTACAGTTTGTATATTATACGGTTCTCCAGATTCATTATAAACGACGGTAACATAATTATTTCCAATGTGCTGTTTTTTAGAAGTACATTTTGGATCGCTTGGTTTTGTTGGCATCAAAGTAGCCACATGAAATGCCACCTAAAAGAGTTTAGGCTTAGCTGTTAAATATTTAAAATAATATAAAAGTTTTAATTAATAATTGAAACCTGTGTGACATCGTCTTGCCAAATATATGCAAAGTTTCCATTTTCGCCATTGCGGTCTAGTCCTCCTAAGAATACACTTTCATCGACATCTTTTAATCGCACTAACGTTCCCAATCGTTGTAAAAATTCTGTATATCGGAACGATCCGTGTTGATTAGCTAAAATTTCAGTTTCATTGGAAGCTTGCCCTGGACCAACGTAAAGAACTCCAATTTTATGAGTTTCATACGGCTGTATTCTATCTAGATTTGTCACCGCTCTTTGCACAGCTGTTGTTTGTGGAACTAGTAAGGGTTTTTCCGAAGGAGAGCCAAAATGCGCTGTATGATATAGTTGCAAAAACACGAAACTATAATATATAATTTAAACATAAACTTTACACTGCAATGAAAACAATTTATAAGCATTCTATATTAGATAATTCTACATTACCTGGGATTAATACCAGTTTTAGGAGGATCTTTTACTCGTGGTGAATTTCCTCTGCGAATATTATCCCATTCTGCACGTGATTTTTTTACAGGACTCATTACGGAAATTGTATGACCCCTATCACGGAATGGTAAAGGTAACGGCGGTAACATGGAGGGATCAGGTCGTTCATCTTTTTGCTAGAAGTAGTGTATTTATATAACTTTTAATCGAAACAAACATACAAAAACTTCACACATAACAATACCTTCTCCGCAAGATGATTTCGTCCATGGGGTGGTTTATTTTCTGCTCCTAATGTTGTTTGTTTCTGTCCAGAATCAAGATTAGATAACCGAGGATAAATTTGGGTAGGTGATTGCGGCGGTTTTACAGTAGAGGATTGTATTTGCGCCGCACGAGCCTGCACTCCCAAAAATAAGGTAGTTCCTTGTACCTACAAGAAAGCATGTAACAGCTTCCATAATATAATGATAAAATAAATTACAAACATAATTTAGTTAAATACTATACTTGTACAGTAGTCGGCGACGGTGGGACAGTATTGCTACTCGTTGTAATAACTTGTGTTACTTGCGTTGCTCCTGGATAAGAACGTTGAGATTTCAATGCAGTTGGATGATCCGATGCAATCTCCGATGATGGCGGGGTTGTACCCATGCCGAACATTTCTTCTGGTATAGCTTCGCAACTGACTCTGCATTTATCAATTTCATCTTTGTACAGAATGCACACAGAGATACTCCAAATCTAATGGTTCTTTAAAATATAATGTCAAATCAAACTTTAGTTTATATTCATTGACAATCTTATGAAATAAACTAAAGTTTGATTTGAAGTATAAAAAAAGCCATTAGATCCAAAGATAACCGGATGAAAAGATCAAAATAAGGCATGCTTTGTGTACACATATTAAAGTTGTTTTTATTTCTGTTATTAGAATTTTTAAAAGAGATCTACCAGAATTGTATCCACCCATAATGTAAAAGATACATTTTTTAAATTTATTTTTTTAATTTACCTTAACATAATATTCAAATATCAAAATGAGTATCCGTAATTGTTATCATGCTTATCATGGTAATATGATGGAAAATATGATATGTCTAATTTCCGAAGTTATTGTACTTACCTCATATCTTTTGCATAGGTGGTTTTTGCATGTTTCTTTAATTCGGCATCAATTTTAATTTCTAAATCCACAGATGAAAGCTCTCGATCTGTTTGTTGCAAATTTAGTTTCTCCTTATTTAAGAATGGGTTTTTCCAATTAGCGCTCATTTCAGGACTAGAATTTGATCTACGCACTGGATTTCGAGAACGTCGTACATCTATCAACAATTTGTAGATTTTAGGTTAAAAATTTCTTACTTTATAATTTTAATAATTAGAACGTTACTTGTTCTTACCATCTTCACCGTCTTCTAAACTTTCTAAACTGTCGCGAGAACTTTGTCTCGAAGGATTTGGTCGTGCTGGTGAACCCGGTATTGCAATTGGACCCGATGATACAGAAGATGACGTCACAGATTTCATAAGGCTACTATGATCACTTTGTACTTGATCTGCATTCTTATCCGCTGTATCCTACAGCAAGTTCACATGGATTGTATAATATTTATATACTGTAGACTCGCGTGCAACACGCATACAAAAGTTGATGGAAGCAGCGAACTATTTACACATTACTCGAGTATTAAAATTACTCTACCTTGGACACCAGGTCAAATCTGTATTTGATCTGGTTTCAACAGGTCAAAAAAAAAAAAAAAGTAAAACTTTTGTTTCCTCAATTGATCGTTATAATGGGTTACACGTGTTAGAATACAGTCTATATTCATAAACTACCTCTGCTTCGTCTCCAGAATATTCTGACGTAGATTCTTGTTGTTTATGCGATAAATCCTGGTTTGGTCTATATAAAGCCATTATGTCATATACGGGAAAGTCTACGTGAGTTTCAAATTGCATAGAATTCTGGATTCTCATTATCCAGGACATGTCGCCTGTAGGTCTCCGCACATATATTTCAGCCCAACCTTGACACCAGCAAGCGCAAAGTACGTGTTCTTCTGGTTTTTCACTGTTAAGTATTTGCTCCAATTTGAATGACTCAACTTGATCTTTGTCCGTCTTTTCTAAAGTAAAATCTCTTTTGGTTGTGTCTAAATCGTCCGATGCTTTCTTTAATTCTTCCGTTGGAGAGTTTGCAGCAGTGTTTGCAGTAGAGCTTCCATGACCTCCAGAAGATTGCCTAGACAATTTGTCCTCCTTCGCTGTCTGTATATCACCATTTTATGACTTTAAAAAGTTATACTAACATCAAATTAAGTACACTTAATAGTAATAATACCTCTGTACTTGATGCCCGTCTTAAGTTTGACTGAGACGTTCTTGCATGTTCTGGTGATTGAGGGCCGGGTTTACATGCAACCCAACAGTTATCGCAAAGTCCTCCGCGCATTGCTTTATTACTACAACCACTTGTCGTTACAGTAATGAGTTTGTTACCAAGTAGCCATGTCATTGATTGACCTTCCTTAAGGAGAAAGTCAGCAGTTGGAAGTCTAAGTAAAAAAAAAAAGTAATTGAAGATAAAGGGAATAGAATGATATTGGCAAAAACACGCAGTTGGCAAGGACATACATGATCAATATTTTCTGTTAAAATTGACAGACAGCATGTACTTATACAGAAAGAAAAAAAAAACAGTAAGGATTATAATTTTACCTCTTAGGTCGAGCCGAGTACGTTGAAAATGTATATCGAGCCATAAGATCGATGCAAGTTTCGGTAAGTTCGACGTGAAAGGTCATTAAAGCTTCATCGATTGGCGGTTTCAAGTCTGAAGCTTTCCCATCACCTATCATACGATTGGCTATTATTGGTCTCTCTCTTCGACCTCTACTGCCCTAAAAATTAAAATGGAATTGTAAACATAAAGATTAAAAAAGAAAGCGGTAATAGGAATATTAAAATTGTTAATTCATTTACACCTGTTCTGTTAAACTTGAACTACGTTTTCTATTTGATGAATCTTCATTCATAAAATTAAAATCTGATTTCATTAAATGTCCTTCTTCAAAGGGAACTATTACATTAGCCTTCAAGCCCTGTATAAGAGAAAAATATTATAATATGAAATTTACAAAAGATTGATCCTAAAATGGTAATATAATCGTTCAATAACATACATACTGTTGTAATAAATCTCACAAAGTCTCTTCGAAATGGTAATCGACATTTCAAAAACCATACAGCAATTACATGATGTGCCAATGATACTGTATAATGATCATATTTAAATGGATTTGTATATGGTAATAGAATTGCAAAAACAGACATGTATTGATCTCCGATAAAACTTGCAAAAACCTTTGGAAGTCTAGTAAGAGCTGCAGTAAAAAAAAAATATCATTCATATCAGAGTAGATGTACAAATGGCATACTTACTAGTTATTTTGAAAGTTTATATTTACTAGATAAAAATTCCAAAATTGGTATAGCTATGTGCACTGTTGCTGAAATTTTTGACAGATTTAAGAGGACCTCAGATAAAAGTTTGTTCATTGCATCACGCATTTCTAATATACAAGTTGTAAGACTAGTAACACACTGACTTGCGCATTTTGCTGTTAAACCAACCTAAACAGTGTTAACATTTAAAATCGTATATATAAATATTTACAATAAGAAACATTGAATTTTGTGGTTTACCTCTAAACATTTTATTAAACGTTGCTGTAAATTAGGTTCCAGATGTGCATGATATGAGGCTAACGATGCTAATACTGGGAAAACATGAACGCGAAACTCAGAAATAGTAAATTTTGGAGGAACATTGTACAAAGATTCTGGAAGTCTTAAGCTCTTATCACTGACCTATCAAAACACATTAAATAGATTTATGTGAATATTTAAAAACTAAAAGTGATATGCATACCAACGTACCATTGAACAAAGTGCGGCTGCAAAGTAGTCAATGTCGTTAGTATGGCGCGATAATACCAATGCTCTATTTTGCATTACTTGAGGTAACTCTTTTAATACAAGTTGCAAAACTTTCCAATCTACAAAAATATACAATTCAAATTTTTATTTTTTCATATTTAATCATGATAATATAATATAAAAACAAACCTTTCTCTGATTTAATACAGGAAATAATAGCTTTACACGCATGTGCCAACGACATATGAGTAATCTGACAAGATAAATGTTGCAGTGGAGCTGGACTTGCTGGCGGTGGACTATTTCCACCACCTCCACTATTCATTCGTTCAATTGCAGCATGTTCTAACACTAAATATGGACTGAACCGTGTTACAGACGTATTTTGTGCATCCGGAAATCCAAGATGATATAGTGTATTTGCTCTAATTTTTAAGAAACACTCAAAAATCTAAATAAAATACAAAATAAATTTTCAAAACTAATATTTAAAAAATCTTTAAATTTAAAAATAAAGTAGTGTGCATTACGTATTTATTACCAGATATCGAATTGTAGAAACATCATGGAAGACAGATGGATCCTTATAATGGTGTTCAAGATGATTCACTAAAACCTTATAAGCACGTATTGCATGACTTGATGGTAAAGAATAAATTTTTAACGTCAATATTTTTATTACACCAAGAACTGCAGTCTTCGCATCTTTAATGTCAGTGTCCTTCATAATTGGAGTATCAGAATAAAAAGGCTTGTTGATCAACTTAAATTAATCAAAGATGTTTGTTCTGTTAATATCATATAAAAATCAATACGCTAACCGCAAGAAATGTAGTACCTTTTCTAATACATCTAAAAGTTCTAAACATCGTTTTGTATCGCATTCAGAACAAAGATCAACAAGTAAATGTGTGACGCCATTACGAACTGTGATATCTGAATCCATGTCTACATGTTGAAAGTATGGCATAACTATTCGTTCGATCAATTCGTCTTCATACCTGGATCTATTAAAGAAAATAAAGTTTCTGATTGTACATTTTAAAATGACATTATTTTATAATACCTATTGATTTGAATGACACTTGTAAAAACATCAAGAACTTTCATTCTAACATTGGTACGTGTTTCAATTTTGTAATAACGTTCCATCAAATTCGCTAATCTAGATTGCCATTGATAATGAGTAGGTCCTATAGTATGTGCTCGATATTCAATTAATTTCAAAACAGATCCTTCCTGAAAAAAGTATTTAATTATATGTATTATAATCGGTTCATGCTTTAATAATAAGTAATATTGTTAGTAAGAAAAGGAATGTCACTGCATTTTATTTTAAATCGATTATTTGATCTCATTGATAAGATCGATTTATCCAACTAGCTGGACTGAGACAAAATATAATAATATTGCTCTTTATGCCAAAATATTACTTATTATATAAAAAAGTGGCTTTTAAAAATCATTCTTCGTATTAGAGATTTCTAAACTGTGAGGAGCCTCTAAAGAGTGATCTACTTCTGTTTTAATCTTTAGTAGGCCCTAACCATAACTGATAGGATATTGTACATATAATAATTACAGGTCGTGTATCGCTGCAACGTTCAACGAGATCATAAAATCGTTGAACACAACCATTGTAATGGCCGTTATCCAGTAAATTCTCAATGCTATTTATTGTTTCGTGTAAACTCATTGAAACTTGTTTAGTTGCAGGCTGATTACTAGTCTCTAAACAATAAAATTAAAGTATTAGGTTTCATAGATATAATAACAATTTATAATTTTGAAGTTTACCTGTATGAGAAATAACTTCCTCTATAATATCAAGAATAATACTCCATGTAGGATCCCATAATTCAGCACCATATTTGTTCACTAGTCTTTGAATTGATAATGTAACTTCATACATAACGATTGGATGATTACATTTTAAAGCCTTATAAAATGAAGAAGGTAATATTAAAGTCATATATTAAAGTTGAGTCAATCGAGGTTGATTTGTTCATAAAAATAATAATAGAATAATTTTGTCTACAATACAAGCAATTATATATATAAATATTACCTACTTGATAGAACGAAGGTAATACAGATGTGGGTGTACATTCTAGTTTTCGAATTCTATGTGTGCCCCAGAGACCCATATTTACATAGAATACTGCACCTCTAAGCAAACGTACATCTCGTTGAAAATTTGCATCTTGTAATAAATGACACATAGTATATAGTGCAGAATGACCCATATGCGTTCCTAATAAATTACGCATTATCTGCAAGAATGTATTGGTATTTAGAATTTAAATATTATTCTTTAATAAATTATATTGACATATTAGTTTATACAATTGTTTACAACAAAACAAGTTAGAGAATTTTGTATACCTTCCAACTTATTTGACAATACGTTTCAACATTTACACTTCCACATAGCGCTATAATAAAAGTTTGTAATGAATCAGACTGTAAATTACTGTAACAAACAATTGCATTTAGAGTTTCCAAACACCCAGACACGACTTCAGTACTATTGCTATAATAACACAGATGACAAATGTACCTAAAAATAAAAAAGCCATAGAATATTATTTTGTAACAGATATTATAATTATGATAATCAACTTTGAAACATTTACTGAACAAGGCCTGATATTATGTTGTCATCTATATAAGCTGAGTTGAATTTTATTACATTAACAAGGAGAGATAAAAATTCAGAGCCTCTTTTCCCATCACCTGCTGTTACAACAGGCATCCAATCTAACAAAAAAGGACCCATTCTCTCTTCCAAATGTACTATATCCTTTCCATTTTCTGTTAGGCTTTGCAAAAGTTCCAATCTAAGATTTTAATATATGATTAATTTGTATCATAATTAAGATACAGTTAATTGATAACATAATACTTATTTTAATAATCGTAATACCTAGGTCCGATATCTTCTGGAATATTATGTTCTTTAACAACCATAAAAAATTTAACTCTCATAAGAGAAGATAGTTTAGAATATTGGCCTTGGACAAGACATCGTAAAAAATTTAATGTCACATGTCTGTATTCACGGGGTACATCTTTTCTCAAAAGATCTTGTACTAAGTACCATAATCGTTCAGCTGCTTTCTAATAGAACATGAGAATATAATCAAACACATTATTATTAATATCATTTGATACAGACATTTAACAAAAATATAATTCAAAAGAATCTACCTACATCTTCCCATTGTTGATTAAGTACAGCATCGCATAGGTCTTTGATTGCTTTTGTACGATGATGGATAGGGCTATCAGGACTAATTTCCTTCTCAAGTTCCTGAGTTAATGTAAAATCTTCGCGACTCTTATAATTTCCTAAATGAACATTTATCATTGATCAAATAATTATGAAAGGTATAATAGATTTATGACTATGAGTATTGTATAGTAATATAAGTTTTCAACTATAATTTTACTTTCATTACTATTTTACATATACACAAGGTGATAAAAAATTGTGCTCATTATAAGCATGCTTCATCACTTTACATAAAAATACTCTGTGCAATAATGTATCAAAATGGTATTATCAAAATCACCTTTGTTAATGCGAAAGAATTGTTTTAGTTTATCATGTAAAGTTTTGTTATCTTTATCCTTCGAGCTCATTTTCGACATTTTATTGTAATATCTTAACAAAAATACAAAGATCTAGCCAAAAAGATTTGTGTCGCGCAACAATAGACATGTCAAAAACAAATCTAAATCCAGGAAAGTCGATGAAATATATAATAATGCTAGGAAAAGCGGAATGCCGGAATCAGGGGGTCCAGTTCACGCATTGAAGGTTGGTACAAAATTTGTAGCGCCGCGTGGGAAAAATTCACCAAACTAAAATGTGGAGCACCTGCGCGTGAATGAATATACATGTCCTAGGACTCGCGTAGGAGCTGAAAATTGAGGGTAGCTGAGACGATTCTGAACAACAATTTCCTTTGCAAAAATGTCCGATGGGGCTTTGTTTTTGAATTATTAACGAAAAACAGCGACCAATCACAACGTCCGAGGAACGCTCGCTCAAAGCATAGGCGTAAGTCAGGACGGTCGGTATTACAGCAGATTCTTCTGCATAGAAATGGTAATACCCATAGAGACACGGATGGCCGATGACAACGAGATGGCGCTTTCTACTATGCGTTTTCAAGAGTGATGCATGCCTGTGCAACATGAGGACACCATTTGGGGAAAGTGTCGACTTCCTCTGGGTCCCATGGGGCAGAACATGTTGTCATCCCCTGAGAAAACTCCGCAGGTCGCGCGAGTCGTGCATCGCGATGTTACAAAGACAGCATAGGGATGGGCGAGAGTGAGCAGGGCCAATTTTAGCAATATTGGCGCCCCTTTAGACTTAAAATTTTTAAGAAAAGAAGACAAGGTAATAATATCAAACGATGAATCTATAGCTACATAGTGTTGTAAATATAAATTAATCGGCACGCCGTATAGGAAAACACCTTTCAAACTACGTACTGTTACAACTGACCTTATTTCTCTCTCGTTCTGTATTCTTCCGCAATCTTCTACAATCTTCCGAATTATTTTGCCGTTGCTCGGCATTTCGCCTGTTTACAAACACTCTCTCCCTCTCTCTCATCCCCGCTCGTCTTATTCGCTCAACTACACACTCATACATTGCGCGGTTAATTTAAACAGTCTACACTAGATTATAAAGATTATTAAACTACAATATATAGCAGCTTTACTAATCTACACCGGACTGCGACGCTCGCAAAAATCTGGTGCCCTGGGCGGTTGCTCGACCGCGTCCCCCCCCTGACGCCGGCCCTGAGTGTGAGCCTCAAGATGCGCCGGTTAGGCTTCGTACAAATGTCAAAATTACAATCAGAGCTGTAAAGTAATGATTACTTTTCTATCCATTACAATTTGAAATATTTCCTTTTAAATTAGAAAATAGTTAATTTTGCATCCATATATGGATAAATTAACTGTCGAAATTCTGAGAAAAAATTAACTTTGATTTTAAAATAATATCGCGTACCAGAAAGTTTTCACGAAACACGGTCGAAAAATGCCAAGGATCGCGCGCCCGTCGATTACGTGTCGAAAAAAGCTGAAGAGCAAAAAAAATGTCTATAACGGGTCTAAATCTAATATGGGGATTCATCATTTGATATGCTGCCCGCGGAGTTACGATGCATTTCGAAAGTGTCCCGCGAAATCATTTGGCTTGGCCACCCCTGGTTTAGGATATGGCCTGCCTTCGCATGTCCTGAGAGGTCCCTTCCTGTAGTTTACTAAAGACTAAACAGATGTGTTAAAACTGCACTGTTTACTGCTAGACATTCTTTCTACGTTTCTTTTATAATGTTTATCGGTCGATCTTGAGCAGCTCCTCGTAGAGCAGATCTCAGAGTACTCGTGACATTTTAGAAAATAAACCTAAAAAGTGAAATTAGTAAATTTAATATTTTATTATTTAGTTGTACACCGTTTTGTAACGAGTGAATGTTTGAATGAGTATGAAATACGCGCCGAATCAATGAGAAGAATGAGATTGAGCGACAGGTGACAAATACGAACGATTGATACTTAATCGAGACGAAAGATTTAAATTAACTGTCTGCTTTTGTAATCTTGAGATAAACGCCTCCCTTTGGCGTCAGCAGGAACGCGCCTGGATCGCGTTCATATGGAATTATCGTCTTCTCACAAACGTCCACTTTATGCTCACGAAGTATCGTGATCAATCCTATTTTAGTTTGAATTTGTCCGAAACGTGCGCCTGTCGAAAACATTTCGGCCAAATATTTAATAGAGTTCGCCGTTAAATTGAATCATCGATGATCTTTATAAACGTTCCAAAATGCTAGGTCGATATTTCGATTTTAACGTACCGATGCAATTCCTGGGTCCATCGCCGAAAGGTAAATAATGCATAGGGTGTCGAGCCGCTTCGGTCTCTTCGTTAAATCTCTCAGGATCGAAAACCTCCGGATTTGGAAAGATATCGGGATCCATTTGTATCGAATATACTGGGATCCATACCATTGTCTTCTTTGGTATCGTAACGTTCGTACCATTGAAAGTATACACGGAAGTTGCTTTTCTCGACAGTACCGATCCTGGTGGATACTTCCGTAATGTTTCTACAGAAGCGAATCGATTTCATTATTATTCACTGGTATTTTCACGAAAAGAGACACGGAAAGAGTAAGTGAAAAATATTCTGCTATACGTAATATACAGGGTGCGGCAGAAATAACTTCCACATTTTAAAGAACGATTGAAAAAAAAATGGTACGAGATAACACCAGATACTTTTTATTTCTTAAATCTAGATATAAAAAAGGTTTTATTTTTTTACTTTATGTTTTAAAAATTATGTCGTCCAAATGGAGGCCTTTACGGGGCGATACACATTTGGAGTCGTTCTTAAAAGTTTTCCATCACTTTAGCTAGCATTTCAGGGGAAATTCTTTCAATTTCCTCTTGGATGGCCTTCTTTAGTTCGTTCAAGGACCAAGGACGATGTTTGAATCCGACTGGAAGCCACCATTTGGGCGACATAATTTTTAAAACGTAAAGTAAAGAAAAAAGTAAAAAAAAAAAAAGCTTTTTTTATATCTAGATTTAAGAAATAAAAAGTTTCTGATGGTAACGCTTCTTTTCAATCGTTTTTTAAAACGTGGGAGTTATTCCCGCCGCACCCTGTAGTACTTCTATTCACCTTTGAATACTTTATCCAAGTATTTCATTCCTTTGATGTGCTCGTATTTCATTTCCCCGCCAGTTTTAGCATACATTTCCTTAATTTCTTGTCGCAACTTGTCTTGTACGTCGTGATTTCGGGCTAATTCGTAAAGGGTGTGGCTGATACCTGACGAAGAGGTCTCAAAACCAGCGGCGAAGAAGACAAAAGCTTGCGAGGCGAGGAAGGAGTCCGTTAATTCTGAAAAATGCGTCGATGGACGACACCGAGTGGTCCCGTCATGCGTAACTTTCGAATCGTTTCTTCCCCAGAGAAGAATGAAACGTTACGTATGGTAAGAAATGTTCGCATTGCGGTAAACTCACCGATGTTTTCCATCTTCTCCGGATGATTTCGAAGTTCGATGAGCGTGTTGACGAAGTCAGGCCTGAAAATATCGTTCTGCTGTCTGTACTTAATCGTGTCCATGACGTTCTTCGTAAAGTATGGCGCGAGGATTCGGTCGGGTAATACGTAGCCAAGTAAATCATAAAACCACGGCAAGAACTGTCTGACTTTTATTCTACACGTGTTCTCGAAGTTCACGGCGAATATTAGTTTGCCCATTCGATGAAATTCTTCAGTTACTTGGTTTGACACGCTCATATCGATGCCGAATGCACAAGTACCGATCACGTCGGTCGTGAATTTTGCCGCCATTTCCCGACAATTTATCGGCTCCCCTTTCGCCACCAGTCGCTTTAAATTTCTCTCTAAATCTACCGAACAATCGATTATAAGATAGAGCATCTCCTTCAATTTGCCCGACGTAAATGTCGGCGAGAATTTCGTCCTTAACGGTCGCCATCTTTCTGTCTCTAAAAACAACAGATTCGTCGACATCGGCTCTGTCTGCGAACATTTCAGAAAATAGTTACTTTCCTTCGAAGCATCATTAACATTTTATATTTCCAAAGGTTGTCACGAAATCTTGAAATCTGTTAATTAATTAATGTTTATTATACCCGTTCGTGAACGTTGAATCCTCGATCGGAAAATTTCGTGAAATCTTTGATCAGAACGTCTTTGATGAGTTCGAGATCTTTAACAAGGAGAACAGGCATTCTGTTTGCGAAAAAACCAACCAACGGTTCGTTTGCATATTTCTTATATATATCTGTCACTAACTGGGTCGATGCTACTTTCGCAAGCATCAAGTCCTTTGTATTGCCAACGAGAGGCAATGGCTTTGGTCCAGGTACACCGCGCTTTTTCCAAAAATCGTAGGTAGAAGTGGAGTAATAATAAAGGATTAGAAGTAATGCGACCACGGCGCAAAGAATGTCCAAGTAGCTCGCCATTCTTTCGGTTGTTTAGAAACTATTAAAATTAGGCCATGTTTTTCTAAAAAAAAAAAAAAAAAAAAAAATTGTAGATTTAGACGAGATGAAATGATGGTACGAGACTTTCGTTTACGCTGTTAGTTCGCTCCAAAGCTTTTCAAATTCTTAGCTTGCAAATTGAAAATAATTCTTCAAATGATTTACTTACTGAAAAACGAAATTCGGGGCTGCTACCTCCTTCTAAATGTTAGCTCTGTCACTTAACTCGTATCTGCCTTTCATATTTATGTCGTAATATGTTATAATACCATTCGTGACGTAATAAAATGCATCATCCCACCACCGCATTTGACGTCTTAGTAGATTTTCAGGAAAACGGACGTTAGAACTGACCACCGGATTAGATGCTGATAAATATAACAACCACAAGTCATCCATTCTAAAATCTATCGTTCACTCTTTATAAAAACATACGCGTTAGAATTATTCATGTTCGATCACTCGATTAAATTAAATAGATCGCGATTCATAGGACTCAGTTTTTGACAAGAAGGTTTTGAAAAAATGTCAGGAAAAAAATGTTTTACTACAAGATATGATGGTTTTATTACAAAATTAAAAAGTTATACATTCGTTTAAAAGATGGGGTCTATTGCTATATTACATTCTATTTTACAATATTGTTTTCAATCTCGTTAACGGTGATAGTATATTTTAATTCTCATAAACATATATACTTTGAAATTAAAATTTATAAAAATCATTTTGCTTTCGTGATAGACAAACACAGCCGAGCCCGGGACCAGACAACCTACCAGAACACCCGATAGCCTAAGTTTAACGACTGGTATTGTTAAAGAATTACTTTTATATTTATATTAATATTATTGTTGCATATGTAATCGAAAGCTCAGTAGCCAAGACAAGAATCCAAGTAAAAATCTTAACGAGCTGGGACGTAACAAGGTATTCTAATCTAATTCAATAGCTTTGCTCAGCAATTTAGATTAAACAATCGCAAATATGGTTCAACCTGTTCACCGTTAGATGACTAATCATCGGTTAAAAAAAAATGATTAATGTTTGAAATAAGTTAATGGTTTTAATAATTGAAAGGAATTGTAATAGACATCAATTATTTAATATAGAAAATAGAATAAAAATGTTTTGTAATAATTCGTATAGAAATTATGGCATGTGCTTTTTCATTAAACAAAAGCAAGTTACACGTTTATATAACATCCATCAATCTTTTTCGTAGTCATGACGCCAAACTGGTTTCCTCTTTTCAATAAAACTTTTAATTCCCTCCTGAGCATCTTTCATTTTTAAATTGTTGACCATTTTCTCAGTTCCCAGGAAATATGCAGTCGAAATGTCGAGATCCATTTGTTCGTACAAAAATGTTTTTCCAATATGCACGACTGACCGACTTTTTGAATTTATAGCTGTGGTGATATTATTGATTTCTTCTTCTAAATGTGAAATACGGTAGAATATAATGTTTATCTATGAATACAAAGTTTAAGTAATCAAGTCTATTGATCACTTACCAAATTTGTTATTTGGCACTACTTTACTCACAAGACCCACTTCATACGCTTCTTTTCCACTAATGCTAGAACCTGTGAAAAGCATATACATTGCTGTCTTTCTGGGTACATTTCGAACCAAGGGAATGCCTGGTGTGGAACAAAATATTCCAAGATTGACCCTAAAAAATAATTGTACATAATCATATAACACAAACATATTTTGAATATAAAAATACTTTTAGCATAGATATAAGGCTCCTACCCTGGTGTACTAAACATGCTTCTTTCTGTACAAATAGAAATATCACATGCAGCAACTAATTGGCAACCAGCTGCAGCAGCTATACCATCCACAGCAGCGATCACAGGAACTGGACTCTGACTAATTGCTCGCATCATGTCAGAGCATGTTTCAAAGACTTCCTTGTGAAGCTTCTCATTGTTAGCAGTCTAAACGACGCAAGCCAATCATTTCTCTGTGATGAATGTAAAATCCTGACTATATTAAACAGGCCCTCACTGTTTCTGTTTAGCAGTGTACTAACTAACCAATTCTTTTAAGTTATGTCCAGCCGAAAATAGACTTCCTGGTACAGATCTGAGAACAATGGATCTAAGATTTTTGTTATCTTCATCTTTCTTGATATTCGACACGATGGACTTCAACATACCCAGTGATAAGGAGTTACGTGATGCAGGATGATTTAATATAATTGTCCTCACCTAATTATAAAGATGTACATAAATTAATATGAAAATATGTATTACGTAATATATTATATTCAACAATATATAAACTAAATATAAATAAACAAATTTTTAGAAATTTAAAAAAAAATTATATAACGATAAAAAGTTCTTTTCATGTAATTCTGCATATATAATATATTATCTTACTCCATCCTTTTCCTTGGTATCTACATAATTCTCTCCTGTAGATAACATCCTATCAGTAGAAAATGTTTTTGTAATATATTGTCCCACCTGCAACAGTTAATACATAATGGATGGGATAGTAGTTTGAAATATAGTATATACGATAATTACTTTATCCTTCATCATAAATCAAGTTATACAGTGACAAAGTAAAAATTTTAAATGTCAAAACAATTTTCCACTATAAATTACATCAATATACAAATGTACAAAAAAGATCAAGTATATTAGTCACTATTGTTGCTAATGCGATTAATTGAAATCATAGGTTATGTATCATTCGTTATACGTGTAATATATTAACGTGATTAATTTAAAAAAATAGGATACCTGGGAATAAGTAATGATATTTTTCTTCGTTAATTTCAACATGACACGTTATTCACGATACTTAAAATTTTATAAACTGTACTGTAACTGTACCGTAACTCGTTATCAGAATGACTTTGAATGATTGTACATAATATGCAGTGCTACTGATCGCTGGTAATGTAGTTTTGTGATAACATTATGCAAACTAATGATAATTTATTAACCTTATATGTAGCCTGTTTTTGCATAATAAAATTGCTTTTCTCCAGAAATATCTTTAATGTTCTCACTTTATTAAATGAATTATTTATCGTACACGTTCTTCGATACATGAAATAGTATGAAATGTTGATAATTACTGTAAAAGATGTCAAGCAATAAAACGCTCCTTGGTAAATTTATTATTTGTTTATGTCAGTGTATGTATGTTGACTATAGTATAAAACACCAAATAAAATATGATAGAAAATTAAGTTTGAGCAATTTTTTCACAAAAATTACATTTACTTCTGGTTTGTTACATTGAAAATGTGGTATAATATAGCATACCACCAAAAATTCTTCTAATTTGACTTGTGATTAATTATCATAGCTTTTCAAACTTTGCATCCGTTTACACAATCTGGCTAAGAAAAAGATGAAATAAACCCGATGAACGCTGAAACATCGAAATAAATATATAAATTCCATCCGAGACTAAAACATTTCTCTCATAACTACAAAAAAACGTTTCGTTTGTTCCTGAATCGTATCATTAATAAATAAAAGTAAACACGTTGTTGAGTTGAGTTTGGAAAGATAATATACCCCATGGGATTTCGATTTTTTTGTCAAGAGCTGTCGGTGCTGGGAGCACTAGGTTCCTCGGAGAATCTGTCACCGAGTTACCATAGCAATCATTGTTTCCCCTAACAACTAACATGGCGGAGGTTGAGGGTAAGTTTGCATATGGAAAATTGTCTTTGTCAGTATTTACGAAACCACGGTAGTTCGTCTGCCATAAATAACGCGTCGAGAGGTCCGAAGCGATAGCTGCGTCAAGTTTTTCTCGGGTTGCACTTCCGTTCGGTTCCAGTTCCGCGGCTTGGATGTTTTCTAATAATATATACAAGAACCACGCGGATACAGATGTGTTATTCGAACGCTCGAGTGGAAAAGAGATGAGCTAGTGACGGGTCCGAGTTGACATATCCGTTATTCGTTCGCGTTCATCGGTGTTGTTTTGTTGAAAGAGGGACCAAAGAGCTGACGCAAGGTAAGATTAGACATTTTATCGCGTATAACAGATCGAACCGATGATCGGTGAATCGATTATCGACGTGAACTCTTTCGGCGAATATTAGACGGTGTCCTGTATACGTTTTCGTGAAAAACAATCGAATGTCTCCATGGTACCTGTGACAATGGGTGAGATTGGTCGATCTCAATTGCATATGTATATAGCACAATTTTAATTTTTTAAATTACATCGAAATTGATAATACTGTATCTACGGAGTATAGAAAAATTTGCTTCCTAAATGTGATCGTTAATACTCCAAAAAGGAACACGCGAATATCAAGAAATCAATTTAAAAAAAAAAACAATAATAAATACGTAATGAAATTGAATTTGCAGTGTTTACGTACTGTTGATATTATCTCTGACGTATTGCGATGTACACAAAATCAAATTTCCGACTCAATGTCAGAAGGGTGAATTCTAAATTGCTTCAAACGCTACAGTTCACTGAAAATATTTGAAATGAACAAACTAGGGACATGTAGTACCATATCTTAAACGTAAACTCTCTTTTACTATGGACGTATTTTCGATGCGTGTTAAGGGACTCGAAACATCAAAAAACGAAAAAAATCACTTTTTTTCCATTTATTTTTTTATTAAAATTTAAGCGATTCTGAACAATCCTACGCAAAGAAAATCGAATTTGGAGCACTAGAAGTGGTAACAAAATTTTTTTGAAAAAAAAAAAATGGAATTGCAAATTTAACTGTCGTTGTTGTCTCTTCGAGAAAGTTGTCAGTTGTATTTCCTTATATTTTTTACAGTTTTATCGCGTTCTTTTTTGCTAAGTTCGTGTCGTCGAACTGTTTTTGTGAGAAAAAAAGAAATTTTGTAAAAAAAAAATTCCATTTCTTGTTTTTCAAAAAACTTCTTTCACCGTTTCCAGTGCTTCAAATTCAATTTTCTTTGCGTAGAATTGTCCGGAATCGCTTAGATTTTAATAAAAAAAAATAAAAATAAAAAAAAAGTGATTCTTTTTTCATTTTTTGATGTTCCAAGCCCCATAATGAAATTATGTAGATATTCTTCGAATATTATTTAATTAATTTATTAAACTTAATTTCACGCAAACTTAAAACATTGATGCGGAATTATGTAGATTATTGTAGATTCATATTTTCTTGTAAGTCTGAAATTCTTGTCTACCGCATTCCTCATAGTATCGATTAAATTCGCGAAGCTACCAGGATATTAAATCATTAAATCTAATCGTGGTCCCTGTTGCGTGATCACCGGTGACCATTTACCGGAAGCGGAACTTACAAAACGGAGTAAGGACGTGAGCTTGAGCGCAATCGATACTTTGTCACAGCTACAATTCTTCGTCTTGTCAGAGTTTTATTGGGCGACGTCAAACTTAATATACAGGGTGTACCTTACAAAATGTCACTATGTTTCCTCCCTTTACTTATTGTCAAATGTAGGCATTTCTTCCTTATTAGGGGGTATCCTGAATTAGGAGGTCTAAAAAAAGCGGTTTTTCGTGAATTTTGTTTAGGGTGGAAAAATATAATCAATTCCATCGAACTTTTTATCCTATTTTCATACATATTCGAGTAGTCCGTAGAAATTTGTTCAACAAGAAATATTCAAATTGAGTCGAGATAGATATTTCACATAAGCACGATAAATAACATATGCAATGTATTATTGCATATGTTTTTAAACATAAACATGCATAATATGCAACATAAAAAAATATATTTTTATAGCACTCTCATTTCAAAACAAATGTCTGTCTACGTCCCATTCTTTTAGCTATTTCCTACAAAAATATGCATTTGCATAAAATTTCGCAGTCTAGTTATATGTATATGAGAAAGTTATTCGCAATGTTGATTACTACGACATATTTAAAAATCATCGAAATCGGAGAGAATGTGTACCTGTTCTCTACAATTACCTTTCTTCATCGCTACCTGATCGGCTTTTCTTTAATAACTTTTCCATTCTGGCTGCCCGAAGATTGCCCATTTTTCACCATTCTTCTTTGACACGTAGATTGCTATGTCACCCATGTATGGGTTTCACTCACGAACTAAAAAAATTAATTCTGAAAAGTTGACATCAAAGGAGACGAATTTAAATGAAATTCGTGAATTTCGATGTAGTTACAAAAATAAATACCACGATAAATAATATTTAATATTAGCAGAAATTTTTAAGAATATTCGTTCGGCGGTCAACGTGTTAATCAATCGTCGGTCGTACTCATTCCCATCGCTAAACGAGAGAAGGAGCTACTTGCGATGGTCTCGCGGTGACACCTAAAATAAGTCGCGTTTGTAAGAGGAGAAAAAGACCGCGTGGACGTTGTGTCGCGTACTAGAGCAGCCGCGCGTGGTATGGTACAGCTCAGTCGGTGTGTCTCCATGCTGATCGTTCGATGTTGTGCTGCGTTTCAAGAAGAGCCGTCGCAGGGACGGACCAACTACACCTGCACAATCACTGCCCGTCGGAAATGCAACCTGTCGAATTGGAAAAAATAGCACGAGTCGAGCAATATCCCGAGCCAGGTGAGACCATGTCTGGAACTACGGAGCCTCATCGTATTTTCTTCATCGTTAATCTACAATAACACCGAGGTCTCCCTTTCTTACTAAGTTGAACTTAGTTAAGTTGAACTTAGTTAAGTTGAACTTAGTAAGAACTCCCTTTCTTACTGCTTCCAAGTTGGACCTTCTTTCATATAATATTAACAATTGGTTTAGTATTAACATCGACTTATCGTTAGACATTCGTTTACTGTTAACTAGAATAATAAGTAGACTGCGGATGTTTATGCAAATTCATGTTTTTATAAATTCAGGTAAAAAATTGAGATTTAAATAATAGTATACGTTATCTGTTATCTTCTAAACAATATATTTTATTGTTAATATTTTATGTATTTTTCCATTCACGCACATCCTCACGTACATTTTCCCATATTTTCACTTGCCATAAATGCATAAACATTCGCAATCTACTAATGACTTTGCTTTCTTCCTTCGCACCTATCCAGATTTATTGTCATTATTGCCTCACCTCTGGAATTAATTTTTCTTAGTTCCTTAATAGAAAGTCCTGTCACTCATTTCTGTTTGGCATGATGTAGCGATCAACGTGTTAATTAATTATCGGTTGAGCTCCAATACCAAACTAATCACTCCCCAGCCGTTATTTAACAATGTTATTTCTTCTTGATACGTATCATACGGCGCGGCGGACGCAATTCTTTTACAGAAACTCCTTCGTATAATATTTTATATCAAACAATAACAAGAATATTATTGTATCAAGCTTCAACCATCTCTTCACGTTGTACCGTGGTCTCACAAATATCAAGTGTACCCTTTTAAATCATCGCTATAACAAAGCGAAGAACAGTGTTGGTAAAACTGGTTTGCTTCGCTGGTCCTCCTACGTTAATGATACAAACTTCTTGCACCCTGTGAAATCGTCTGCAACAAAGTCCTGTTTCTCGTGCAGCTAGAATGATCGATTCTCGACGCGCGAAGGTATCACTTTGAAAAGGCGTTATACCGTAACGTAAGCATACCGTGGATGGAAAACCGAGGACGGAAGATTCGAAAAATCTTCGAGACGGTAGCAAGCACGATGGAATCTTTTCTACGCGAGAAACAGATACAATGATCCAACGGTAACTCGAAACTCCTAAAAAGGAAGCTTGCTCCTCCGTAGGCGAGCCACTCTCGCGGGGGCGACACCTCGTCTTCGTCCTCCTCCTCGTCGTTCGTATAGGAAAATCTCGCAGGTGTCCGTGAATCGCGCGCGTCTAATAAACGATCGAGCAGATGTCCGCTACGTGGTACTCCATAAGTTCAGCAAGTAGTTCCGATAATCGTGTGAGTTTGAGTAACCTTCGGTGTGTAGCGACGTTTGTCGTATCAAGGCGACACGAAGCGCGAAGCGAGTGATGTTAAAAAACATGCAGGTGTTGGCATTTGATGCTGCGTCGAATCGATAGTCTTATAATTAGTTCTGATGATCGTACGAGTTTCGTTAGTTTTCGGTATAACGCGATGCTGATTGTGAGTAGTAATGGTATTTAGTTGGCTTGAAGCTTTGAACAATTGTACGTTTAGCGTTTAGTATCATATTGTAGTATCTTTAATGAATACGTCCTCATAATACTTTAACGTTTCTTCATAAAATCCATCGATGATGATAAGCCCAATTTACATAAATGGATTCCATCTCAGGAGACTCCAGTGTGATTGCTTTAATCACCTCTGTAACTGTTGGTCTTGTAACTGTTGCGGTGATTCTATTCTATTCTATTCTATTCTATTCTATTCTATTCTATTCTATTCTATTCTATTCTACAATTCTGTGATACTTGAGAACATCAGACAGTAAACCTATGATAAGTTTACCGTAGAAAGGCACAGAATTAATTGCCGCACCCAATACCCAGAAGCTTAGGTCAACCGATGAACCTGATACACTTTGTAGAACCTATTCCTTCGAGAATAACCTTCTGTAGCCTTAACTGGTAGCCTTACCAACCGTGAAAATCTTGACGAAATCGTACCGTTAGCTCGCTAAATCGATCTCTCGATGCGAAAGACAGGCGAAATCGTTCATACCATAGCCCTGTTGTTTGTATTCCCCTAAACAGCGAGTCGCGGATACCCCGATCAGTCCTCCGCAAAAGCATCAGAGAGTCTCGCTTCAGAGAGTAGTGTCGATGTCGGTTCATCGATTTCTCCATACTTAAGCTCTCACAGAAAATCGTTCTGACTCCCTCTGCATGACAGACGGACGCATCAACGCGCGCCTCCCGCGCTAGGAGGACAACAACACCAACAGCAGACTAATTCTCGGTAAATGGACACAGATGTGCCGCCCATCCTCCTGCCGTGCGCGTTCTGCGCGCGGACATTTATGCCGCAGTCCCTGGAGAAGCACATCAGGGTGTGCGAGAAGTCAACGACCAAGAAGAGGAAGCCGTTCGACTCGTCTAAGCAGAGGATCCAGGGGACGGAGTTGGCGGACTTCCTGCCCAAGCAGACGAAAAGGCGGCACGCGCAGGACGACAAAGCCTGCAACAGCTCTTGGAAGCAGACCCACGATGAGTTTCTGCGCGCCATTCGTGCTGCTCGCTGCGAGGTCGTAAGTTCTCCAATGCATCCCCTAAATAAATGATTAACCCTTTGCGCTCGTGGCATTTTTCTATAGAATCAAATCCAGCCCATTTTTATAATAAATTTCTGTGGAATCGAAAACTCTACTTAGAAGAGAAACATCTACGAACGTTCATTATTCAATGTATTATTATTATTTCAATTAACAATTAGCTGTATCCTGATATAAGTGAAATTGAAATTATAGGTTCACAAAATCGCTTTTAAATTACATGTGTCGCCCCAGAGGCGCCACCCGAACGCGAAGGGTTAAGTGATGAAAATTAGAAATGAAAGTTGGATAATTTGAAAACACAAAGTTGGAAGTGTCGAATTGAAAGGCAAAGGTAAACATAGAGTAACGCGAGGCTAGAATTGCAGTTAGAGGGGCAGATTAACCCAGATGCATCGCGAATGATGCAAGTGCATTCGCGCGTGCGATGAATTCTCTTTGGAACATGTGTCGTAATATTATGTTAGTTGTCGTCCCGTTATTTTCGAGCAGTTAACGTTTGGAAAAAGACTCGATCTTCTGCTGAATTGCTAAAACTTCGAAACCACGAAATTACAGTCTGTCTCACGGAAGCGTGATCGGCTATATTTCTGTGAATGTTTATATATCTGTACAAGGTTTTATATAGGTCGAATCTACATCTAAAACACTAATACACATTTACCGAGTAAGGTGTCCAATCTCCTCCATTAGCAATTATACCTCGACCCGTATCAAACTTTGTACAAATATATAAATATTTACAAAAATATAGTCGACACGCTCTTATGAGATAGTACATGAGACTGTACATTTCGATCGATGCTTAAATATCTCATGATCGTCTTAAATACGACTACGAAAAAATATACATATAGTTGGATTTTCTTCTAATTTTACCAACACGCTCTCAAGTCACGCGCTGTCTATTTGTTGCAGCATTGTTTTGTAAATGCCAATCAAATCTACGAATTTCAACTGCGAACAATTTGGAACGCAAGCCTTCAAATAATTATTACTTGATGGAGATGTACATAACGGGTACAATTAAATACTTGATGCATTTACAGATGACGTCATTATCAGATTTTCTCGTATCGCTTAAAATTCCTTAAAAGACAGAATTCTCTATTTAATTCTACTCTTTAGCAGTGTACTTAACGATGTAGCAATAAGCTTGTAGAAGCTTTTCACTTATTTGTTTCTTACTGCTGCGGTTTAATATTATACAATGTCATCAGAGGTATAACTCATCTCACCCATCTCTGAATGCTTTTTGACTGGAACTTTTAGGAGGATACCACGGCTCGGAAACAAAGCAGTCCAAAGGCTCCAGCGAGCGCTCCGACGCGCGCGAACGAGCAAGGATTGTGTCCTACCTGCAATCGACATTTCGGCATCAAGGCGTACGACAGACACGTGGCCTGGTGCAAGGAACGCGTTGCACGGGTGACCCTCAGTCCCGCGGCGAACATCGCCAAGGAACGTCTGGAAGCACGGATGAGGTATCGAGTACCTTTGTTGAAGAACCGTCGACAGATGAACCGCGAGAAATATTCACCCGGTTCGGCGGTCACCCTCAACTCAGCCAACAAGACGTCGCCGACCCAAACTACCGCCAAGGCCAAGGAGACGGTTTCGGCGCCCAACTGCAACAAAACCAACAGTAGCCCGATTAAACAGAAACCAGTCATCGTGTAAGTTAGTTGTACCTCGATAAGCTTACTCCTGAATGAGCGGTCAGTAGTCAGACTTAATCAATTCATTCATTTATTTAAAGTGCGTAACTTATTGTACAAAGTTATTGCACTACTGCTTACTTAATACTAGCTTATTTCCATTCTTCTTATCATCCTCTTACATGACTCCTGCGTTCTTTTAATACTGTTTTTTGCAGTATCACTTACTTCCCATCTATCGAGGCCCGCTGGCACCCCTCTAGCTCGGATACCTCGGACTTGCTAAGTGTTGAATTAATTGGATCTAAATATTGTATTTAGTCCGATAACAAAAAATGAATCTGGCATTTTCTTCTTTGAAGTCCTCGTGGTTCTTTAGTTCTTAGAAGTGCTTGACTTAGAAAACTTGAGTTCGACGGTCAGTAGCTCCCCAGCTAAGCGCTATAAACTCAACAAAGAAACTGTGGACACCATCGAGTTCTGCGGAGGCCAGATAGCGAACGGAACGGCTTAAATTTAGATGAATAATTATGGAAACGATTGCTTCCTTATGCCGAACAACACCGCGTGTCTCCTGGCCTCGTGCCAAAATTGTACCCTCCTCTAATTGCATGGCTTCTCCTCTCTAGCCACGAGACTTTCTGTTGCTTCGCTCACATTCCGTATTTATAACTGATTTCTGAAACGAGCAACACGGAAGACACGGTGAAATTAATCAGAAATCTATCTATTGCAGTAGACGGTCCGGAAAAGCGAAAGATACCTCTAGTCCAATCGGTTCGATGCCACGACCAATCGATCGTACGAACAGGTAAGCTTCCTCCACCTTTCTGATTACACGTTGGCGTGACCAATCCGAATACAAAATATTTTATTTAGAGAAATACGTAGAACATAGTCTAAACACCGTAGAACATCGGTAGTGTGCACGAGGAGAACGAAAAGGGACAAGGTTGTTTCCAATGAAATTATTCCAGTTAAATTACTCCAATGAAATTATTCCAATCTACAGAAACCGAGAAAATCGAAAAATTCTGATAATCTCCATAACTCGTAACTCGCGGTCACACATGTAAAAAAAGACCTCCCTCCGACGGCAGACATAGTACATCCTTGATCCTGTTTCCTTATCCTCAGGCCACCAGAAGACGAGTGCGGATTGGTAACCTTTCGACCTGCGCCCCCTCTAAAAAGAACCTTCCACCTTCCCGTTCCATCCCTAAAACATAAGAAAGAAACCGTAGACGAGCGCAATAACACCCCAGGGAAACAGAAATATAAAAGACAGCGGTTGAAGGCGCTCAATAGCCTCGTATCTCTAACCAAGCAGGAGGCAACAAGGTATCGGGAACACTCTGGCAGCTCGCACAAGACGAACATCGTCTCCGCCAGAAGTCAGGGTACACCGAAATTGAACGACGTCTCCATCAACGCAATCGGCGTATCTGTGACGCCCTGCAGCATGCACAAGGCCGACGAGCTCACCACCTGGAAGAGGATCAGTCAGGAGAAGGATCAAAGTCGAGGAAACTTGAAAGAGTGTCCAAGAATCGAGTCCAAGTTGAGTAGGATCGACTCTCCAAAGTTGACGAAGCAAAGGTTGATTCAGAAAGATTTGAAACAGTATTCCATCAACGAAGAGCAACCGGAAGGCGTTAAAGACGTCGTATCTTACGAAGATGGTCCCAAGGATGAAGACAGAGCGACCTCGAGAAGCACGAGTCCAATCAATTGGCCCCGTGTCACTCCAAAATTGAACCGAACCTATTCGTTCAAGTACGACGAACTGGATGACGTACAAATAGGGAGTCACAGGAGAGGTCACCCAGTCAAGCACAGTCCTCGAGTGGAGTTTTGCCTGGGAGACCTGGAACGATTAAGTCGATTGCATTCTTTGGTTAATGTCAGTTGTTTCAGGGACGTGGATTCTAGGAAGACTCAGAAATCGAACAAGAACAACGAGGAAGGATCGAGCCATTATGTGATCAAGGATGAAAATTCGTTGAATGATTTGTTATCGGACCAGAGAATCAGCCCAGATATGGAAACCGAAGAGATTTTAAGGGAGCAATCGGCATCTGAACATTTCGAGTCGGCCAGAAGCGAAATTCTAAAGAAGAAGAGATTAACGTCTTCAGGTCACGTTCAACTCTCGCAACAGAATTATTACGATTACGAAGTCGCAGAAACTCCCCAAATTATTGATCCGCCAGAGAATCCTTTAGCAGCATATAACACTTCTGAACTAAATAACTCGTGTAACATAAACTATGAAAAGTCGTTGGACTGTAAGGATGTCGATTTCTCTACACGTCCAAGCAAAAATGGCAATGCAGAGGAAGAAAGTATTCTCCTCTGTGAACAAAATTTACAAACTTGTTTGGAACAGAGTCTTTATGCTGAAGAATTCGAGGATTCGGCAGTCACGAAAGACGATATTATGATCATCGATAAAGCGATACATGGAACCGAACGAGAAGCGATTGTAATTGTAGACGTTGAAAATATCGAAGAAAAGAATGAGTGGAACTCTGACACGAAAGGTATAACTAAGTCTCTCAGAGAGGAGCTTGAATTTTCCTTTGCGAAGAGCGAGCACGATGACATCAAGATGTTCTGTGACATGGAGGCAAACGTGATTCAGATGGAAACCGAACCGTTGCTCATGAACGACATATTGCATCCGAATAGGTCTAGTACACCGTTCGACGATGCGATAGATGGTTTGAATTCCAAGTGTGAAGCAAAAGAGGACTCACAGTCTCCTGGAGACGAGTGGAAAATGACTGTGGACACAGGAACAGGATCGGAATTGTTGTTTCGCGTCGAATCCAACGATTCCGATTATTCCGTCACTTGCGATATGGTACAGAAATTAGATAAAGTTCACTTCGAAGAGGAAAGCTTAGAGTCTCGCAAGTGTTCAAGTAACACATATCGCAAACCTCTTCAGCAACCTATTGAAAATAGCTGTAGTGTTTCTAGGGGTGTTTCTCCAATAAAGCAGAAAGAAGAACAAGTTAATGTCCAGACTCTGCTCAGAAAAGACGCTGCAAGTCAAACGGACAAGTGTAAGTGCTGCATTAAGTATTTCAAAGGTGAAGAGACTCGTTCAAGTCTCAACGATTTATCAGCATTTAAACCACTTGGCAACGATTCTTTGGAGAATAGTGCCGAAGAATGTCATACGATTACGGAAGAGGCTTTGCAAGCGCAAGTTAGATGTGGATATGGTAACACTGATTCTAATTCCACAGAATCCGAGTTACAGAAGGAACGATATGATTTAAATTTGGATAATACTGACCAGAATTGTTATAAACTAGAAAAATATGAAGCGATTATGGAAGAAACTTTACAAACGCGAGCTACCTGCAAATCATTTGAATCCAACTCTGAGCAAGACAAGTTACAAGAGGGACAGTGTCGTTCGAATTTTGAGGACATGAATGAGAATTCTAATAAACTAGAGAAACGTGAGATGAT